TCTCTCTCTCTCTCTCTCTCTCTCTCTCTCTCTCTCTCTCTCTCTCTCTCTCTCTCTCTCTCTAGCTCGCTCGCTCGCTTTCGTTTGTTGACAGCGATAGCAGCTGACCATGACAGAGAACGGCCGTGATCGACGGCTAGCGTCATTCTGCTGCAAAAGGTGAGCCGGGAACAGAGCTTCGCAGTAACAACGTGGAGCACGCTTAGGGCGCGTTCTGGAAACGCGTCAATTCTATCTTTGTCGCTCTCTGGATGCACAGCAAGGATAGAATGACGCGTAGCGCTAAGTAGCGTGCTCCCCGACGTACCCTTGATGTACGCGCGCGCCCGCGCGCTATCGGTTTTCCTTTACGCGCAGGGTATGATCAGACACCCTCTGTGTGATGTATATTTGTGTGTATGTGTGGAACGCCCTACTCCGCTGCATTCTTCCAGCGCACCTTTCTCAAGATTGCGACAGCTTGCGACACTACGCTATCCCGACTTCTCTGGGTGAGCCCCTCGACGATTTCTGTCCCCGCGAGCACCGAGCAACCATCATTCTTCGTCGATTACTCGCGTTCGAGCTACTCGACGAGAGTTCGCGACCTTCTGCTCGAAAGAACGCAAGCTCGTTCCTGATGGTTGGCGTTTCGGAGAATACCGGGAATGTGTATCTCTTCGAACAATGAATGCAGTGGGTGTTACGAAAGCTTGCTGTTACGAAAGTAAACGCGTCCGGTGAAGGCTGAGAATTTAACGCGGCTCGACAAATTCAAGTCCGCGGAATGAAGCGCGTCGCTGGGTTGAATAAGAGCAAAGAGTGAGTAGGAACGAGATGAACCGAGCAAAATTAACCGGCAGCAACCAATCGAATCGAAGAGACGAGAGAAGCGAATGTACGCGCATATATGTGCAAATACATTCGGCTGTCGTGATTGCAGGATGCACCTCGTGACGAGTTTCCGCGGGAGATCGTCGGATGATGGTTGTACAAATGAAGGAAAGACTGTGATAGTTCAAAAGAGGACGGAAGGAGGTGGCTCGAGTGGAAAATTCAACGACGGGACATCGTCCGATCTGCGACGTCTCTCGCGAGTTCCGGATCCGCGGGACGATTCGCGCGACAATTCCTAATTAATCGATCGTTACTTTCTCTCTCTCTCTCTCTCTCTCTCTATTTCGCGATTTCTAATGATCTCCGATTATCGACACGTTTGAGGTTTGAATGTTACGAGGAAAGCAACCGTATTCTGTAGAATCTCCGCTAATTCTATAGAGAGAACGGCGAAGCGAGTCCCTATGAAACCGGCGGCGATTTGATAGAAAACGCCGAGCTAATCAATTTCGTCGTAATGCGAATATAAATCCATACGCGAGATTCGATTAAGCAATCAGTGTGAAATCGTTGTTGGAGCATATGCGCACGAATCATCCAAAGTCCCACGGATTCGAACAGGGGTTTTGTGCGTTGTGCAAAGCTCAAGCTCGTTGGGTAAACGTTGCGTCGGCGACGTGAGGATTAATTGTTTGGCGTCTCGTGCCGATCGGAGCCAGACAATTATTCGTACGCACGAACACAGTTTGGAAAACGAACGCCGTCGCGAAGGTGGTCACGTTGATTAGTGTGCGGATTAGTTTGACTGCTCGTATATACGCCGCAAGATCAAACAATCCAGACACTTGGACAATCGACGCGACGAACAACGTGTGTGTCATCGACATGTGTATCGCTGAGAGAGAGAGTGACTTATGTTTGTGTGTGCACGCATGTGTGTGTGTGTTGTATGCGGTGTTGACAGTATATGACGGTTAGTTTGAGTAAACGAAGGATCACTTTCGTGTCCCGTGGGACGTGCGAGATCGGATCTGTTCGAGAAGTTGGCGCGGACCGTTGAATCCCATAATGGAGCTCTCTCTCTCTCTCTCTCTCTCTCTCTCTCTCTCTCTCTCTCTCTCTCTCTCTCTCTCTCTCAATCTGCTTGAAGAGAAACCTAGAGAGAGAGAAAGAGAAAGAGAGAGAGAAAGAGAGCGATTAAATAGGCAATTTTGGCGGGACAAATTTTGGCGTTCCTCAGGATCTTGGCGAGATTTCGGGCGCGGCTTGCGCCGTAAACGTGTCGAACGCGAACGACCGTAACATAGACTCGGTCGTCCTCGATCGATCAGTACCCTGTGCTGAAGACGGAAGGGAGTTGAACTCTGCGCTGATGATTCCAAGACCAGAGCGCACGTGTACGTGCGAGCGACGAGGGCGGCCGAAAGCGAAAATTTCGACTGCCGAGGGTGCTTCGCGACGAATGGAAACGCGCCTCTCGGTGTTGATTGTCGAATCGAAGGTGTCTCAGAGAGAGAAGATCGTTGGTTAGTTAGTGCGAAACTGGGGCAGATGGGAGTATGAAAGTTGTGTGGATATGAGCGTGTATGTGTGTGTACGTGTACGTATGCGAAGGGAGGAGGAGCGAAGGGAGGCAAGGCGAGAGGGAAGTGACTAGCGGCGGCGAGCTCTACAACTAAACAACAACAACAGTATTTTCAGTATTAACAACATTAACAAGTAAGTTTCTTTTTTTTTGTGCGCACGCGCATATTGGGGCGCATACGCGCGAAGAAAGGTGCGCACGCACGCGAGCGCGCGAATAGTTGGGACCAGGGCTCTGTGATTTACGTCCTCTCTCTCTCTCTTTCTCTCTCTCTCTCTCTCTCTCTCTCTCTCTCACTCTTTCTTTCATCGCGGCTCTTCGAGATCCAACGTCGCGAGGACGCGTCACCCACGTCGTTGGGGCCATGTGACGCGGGCGCACGGCACAAAGAAGAAGAGCACTCGCGGAGACTCGCGAGGAGGGTGCGTATATCGAAGAGGAGCGCACGCGGTGCTTTCTCGCATACCATCGATGATGTCCGTAGTTCGCCAGAAGTACACAGGAGCGGCTTGGGAAGTTCCTCCGGCGCGAGAAGGCTCTCTCTCTTGCTCTCTAACTCTTCTTATCTCTCCGCTCTTGCCGCGAAGACACGATACACACTCAATGTCTTGCGCGTCGTAACGCGCGTTTCTCTCTTTCCCTCCCTTTCTTTCTCTCTCTCCTCATAGTCGGTGGTTGATGAAACGTCTGCTGGTGTTGTCGGTGATGATGGGTGGGGCGGATGAAGAAGAGGGCGATGGGCAGATGACGGTGACGACGATGGTGATGGTGAGCTGAGCGCACGAGCATTGTTGGTGGAGTAGGATAAGTAGAAGACAGACGAGCGTCAGTGAAAAGAAAGATCGACGAGGAGATCGTGCTGCTGATGATGACGATCCCATGGCCGCCCAACGACAAAGAGGAACGGCGAGGATGGCATGATTATTAGGAGCGTCGGCGTCGGGGCACAGAGATCATCGCCGTCGTCGCGACGCATCGTTGGTCTACATACCAATCGGCGGCACTTGCACGTAGCGGTATATGTACAGCCGATAGTCCTTGCTGGCCAATACGACCGAGCCGTCGTCCATGAGAGCCACGTCGAAACATTGCGCGTGCTTTACTTTGCTTTCGAGGGCGGACACCAGCTGACCCTCTTGCGTGAAGATCGTCAGATTGAAGTTATTATGATTGTCCGCTATCAGTATCTCACCCACGCCGTTGATGCCCACACCAATCGGGTAATTGGTGACACCTTCACCACCGATCTGGCGAAGATAAGCACCGTCGTAATTGAAGACTTTGACGCAATGCGCGCGATTGTCACTGATGAAGATCTCTTGCTTGTCGTTCACCACGACGCCGTTCGGGAACTCAAGGTGCTTCGAGCAGCCGAATTTCTGCAGCACGTTGCCGGACTGGTCGAAGATGATGACGCGCATCACTTTGCACTCCACCACCACGATTCGTCCCTTAGAGTCGACTGTGACGCCGCGTGGGTGCTGCAGAATGTTCGCGCCGAACTTGCGCACGAACTGGCCATATTGGTTGTAGATCTGTATCTGATGGGTGGGCGAGCGTTCGGTAACTATGATGTCGCCGGACGTCTTAACGACAGCGACACGATTAGGATAGAGCAGCTGACCATCTCGTTTGCCACACTCACCAAACTGAAACTTAAACCTGCCTTCCTTGTCGAAGATCTGGATGCGATGGTTGTTGGTGTCGGCAACGATGATATCGTTCTGCGCGTTCACCGCGACCCCCGACGGCTCCGTGAATTGACCTTCCATCACGCCAAATTCGCCGAATTTGCAATGATAGATCATCTTGTTCCGTTTGATCTGCGACTTGGGCGGGAATATCGCAGTCGCGGACATCAACTTCGATGTGAGATCGAGGACGGATTCGCCGGGTGCCGCGTTTGCCGCCACGGCCACCGCCGTGGGCATCGCGAAGTGGTCGTTAGTCGTTACTACCGGATAACCGTCGCTACCACCGTTGCTCCACTTCTCGTACGAGTTCGCGTTCATCCCGTTGAGGCTCACGTCGCTGATCGGTGTGGAGAATGGGCCGAGGCTGTTGGCCGAACTGAACCGTTTGGTAATGACGGTGCTGATGGTGTCGATCGACGATGGCGACGAGGACGAGCCGCAGCTCAAGCTCGACGAGATCAGGCCGTTGCTGTAGGACCGATCCAGTAAGAGGCCACCCAATGAACTCGCGCTGCCCGGCCCGTTGCTGATGCTACTGCCGCTGCCGATGCCGTTGCTCGAGAGCGCGGTGGGCCGCGCGATTGGTGGCTGCTTGCCGATCGGACCGGCGTTGCTCTCGCTGTTACTTCGCACATAACCAAAGGTGTTCCTCACGCCCACCTGTATCGCCTGGTAGTTGCTCACGAACTCGAAATCCGCGCTCTGGCTGGCGATGTCGGGCGTGTAATTGAGCAGTTGTTGCAGCTTCGAGTCGAGGATCTTCTTGATCATCAGCACCTCGATTATATGCGCGTACTTGGTGACGCGCTCGACGAAGTCGCAGGTCTGCAGGATCTTGTCGGACATCTCGTTGGCTTTCTGCGTGATCATGTTGAGGGAGAGCTGCTTCGACGAGAACACCGACTCGAGTTCTTTCAGCAGCTCTTGTTTACGTTCATCCAGCATCGATCGATAAAACAGGAAGGTCTCGTTGATCTCGCTCTGCGCCTTTTGGTATTGCTTCTGCAGATGCGCCGAGTTCTGATCCGCCGCTTTGATGGATGCGCGCGCATCCGCCGCCTTCGCGCGGCACTCTTGAACGAGCCGTACCACCGTTTCCAGCTGCTGCGGGCCCACTTCCGAGACATGGCCGCAGTCGTGCAGAGGTCCCGTGTGGTCGGTTAACGAGCACTCTTTGCAGGCCAGGGTGGTACAGCTGCGGCAGAAATACTTGAGCACCTCTTGCTTGTGTCGCGAACAATAGTGTATCTTCTCGGCACTGCCGCCATTGTTACCGTTGCCGTTTATTACTAGATTGTTGCTACCGCCGTTACCGCCATTGTTGCCATTGCCACCACCACCGCCGCCGCTACCGCCGCCGCCGCCGCCACCTCCGCCACCACCGCCACCGCCGCCGCTGCCAGCGTTGCTGCCGTTGGTGCACTTGGACAATTCTGTAGTCGTGGTGGTCGTGCCGCAGCTACTGCCACCGCTTACCGTCTCCAGCTTGGATTCAAGGGTGGATATCCTGTGACCCTCGAAGCAGTGCATGAATTGATGCGCCATAACGCAATGTGAGCAGAGAAAATTCGCGCAGTCAAGACAATGTGCAACAGCGTCGGAGTCAGAGTTGAACTTGCAGCCGGTGCAGCGGACGGTGCTTCCTAGACGGCAACGCGGGCAACCCTCACTCGACTTCGGTGCGTCGAAGCAAAGGTCGCAGCTGTCGACGTCGCAGATCGCCGAGTCGCTCGCGGGCGGCGAACTACCGCTCACCGTTAAAGGGGACAGCGAGTTCAGGGACCCGATGGAATTCGCGCGCGATCCCAGCGAGTCTGTCGGCGAGGCCATCTTCAGTCAACCGGCATCCCTGCAAGCAGAAAAATTACAGATCTTTTAGTACGCCCTCGTTATCTCTGCATGATGTCGGTTATTCTATTGACGCAACGTCACTAAGAGAGTGACGACTCTCGATCGAGAGTGCACTGTCGTCCTTCGAGAAGGATTTTATTTTGTACATCGTTATAGCGCGATGCTTTTACGTTCTGATATATCCTTACATCGTGATAAGTATTCCGCAGCGTTGAGCTCATTTCGTTCGCTCGTACTTCCGACTTGCCAACATCGATCGGCGTTAAGCCCTTATTAAAACGTCACCGATGTTAGCACATCGCGCTGTTGGCTTAGCGCGATATATAACATCGACTACGTTCAATTCATCCCGCTTGTACGATACATTGACGCGCTAATAACGCGGCGCTCCGCTAAAAGTAACGAAAGCACCGTCGTGAGATTTTCTTGGTTGCAAGGCAATATGTCGTATTGTTTCGTTAGCCATCGGCGGCAATGTCTATGATATTAATACGGTAATACCAGTAATAACATCATGATAATGTTCAGCTATCGATCACCCCCCCCCTTCCCCCGTAGCAGGAGTTCTGTCTCTTTCTATATTTCTTTCTTTCTCATCGTGGTCGTTGTGCGTAATCGCTATTACGAACGTTTCCTATCTCGGTGGTGCCCTTTATTGCGATTCCCACGCGTACAACGCTGATCCTTCTCCCTCTCTCTCTCTCTCTCTCTTCTTCCCTTCAACCCTCTCCAACACCCCGTGATGCGCGTAGCAGTTATATTCGCGGCGGTTCGCGCGACGAGGAGAAGCCTTGTCCTTCTAATTAAATCGCTCGAGCCGGACGGCCATGTTTCACCTGGCAGCTAGAAGAGGAAAGAGATCGGCGAGCCAAGGGGACGACGAAGGGAAGAGAAGAGAAAGACGCACGCCGCCGGCAGAGGAAAAGGAAGAACGAGGGAAGACTGGTATAGACCGCGCGCGAGTCCAAGGTCACGAATGCGAAGGTTATCGTACTTCTCTCCTACCCGGCCGAGCGAATTTATCGGGTACCGTGCGACGACACGCTCGCTTTTCCACGCTCGGAAGGAGGAGGAGCAGCAGCGAAGAAGATAAAACGCCCGAGAAGGTGGAAGGAAGGAAAGACAAAGAAAGAGAGAGAGGGAGAGGGTGGGAAGGAAGGGGCAGGAGAAAAGATAGAGATAGCTGGAAGGCACTTTTCAAGAACCTCAACGTGTGAAGATCCGTCTACGCAATGATACGGTTTCCCGAGCAAAATCCGGACGTGCGGCGTTAGGGGATTTTCATAGGAAAAATAATTGCACGGAGTTATCTTTAGTAGCTTTTTTCTTTTAGTTGAGTAAGAGATAAACGATCAAAGTACCGAGCTGACATAGGGAGTAACATGAAAGAGAGAGAGAGAGAGAGAGAGAGAGGGAAGAGGCAGAAAGAGAGAACGAGACAGAGAGGCGACCGCGAAGAAGCGGCAGAGACGAGTGAAGAGAGACGAAGAACAAAGAACATCTGCTCTCGGCTCCAGGAAACGCTTCTGAAAAGTTTCTATGCTAGCGAGCATCCGCGCGAGTGCGAGTGCGAGAGCGCGACCACGCCGTCTTCGTGCAAGAATTTCGATTAACTCCCAAGATAAAAGGTGAACGCTCCTGAGGGAAGCGTACGTGGAGCCGAGGTCGCCGGAAAGCCGCGTTTAACATACCGAGGCCGAAGAAGTCGCGAGGAGAGCGTGCGACGAACTCCTCGCCGAGAGTGAACCCGTGCGCCATTGTATCGCGCGCGAGAAATAAAAAAAAGAACGTGAAATAAATCTGGAGTAAAAAAGCAAAAAGAGAAATAAAATAAAAGAGGACAAAATAAAGTGAACTAAAATATCGCGCGCGAGATGTTTTCAACCCGGCGAGTTAAAATGTATTGTCTTTCGACGACCACGCGGATAGAAAAAAAAAAACAAGTTTGCGTAAATTTTGCAGTAACTCTACTGATCGATTTGTACAGATTGTGCACCCCTTATGAGTGTGGTTCCTGCATCACTCATATCTATCACAGAATATACCAAAGTAAAAATATGAAAAAACTTATCAAAATTGATTAAAAACAATGCGCGCGCGTTATGTAAAACGTAATACAGAAAAATTGAGATATAAGTTTCAATACATTTCTTGCTGCATCGACGCAACAAAGAATTTACTCTATTTTGTGAAGTAAACTCAATAATTAATTTGATACACTACATTTTCTTCGTAAATATAATTGAGAAAATTTTAAAGTTTCCATCATCCATTGTGTGTCTCTGGGGATAATCATAAAAGTTTGTCTGGGTATGATTGTCTTCTTCGTACGTACATAAAAACAAAAGTTTGAATTGGACTGAGAGAAAAAGTTAGTTGATATAACTAAAATTACAGTTATTCTTGGCTCCAACTATATCTTTTGTAGTAAAACAATAGTAATGATACGCATATAAAGTTATTATTACTAACATTATAATAGAATTTAATGAAAAAATAGATTTCACGACTATAATTTATAGTAATTATTTCTCTATGTGATTATGGTTACAAATACCAAACATACTTTTTTCAATGTAACGTGACAATAAACGAATCGAATCTTTTGGTTAAAGGTTGACAGAATTCCTGAATCCTATAATCGAATTTGTCTCATAAGAACCAGAAATCCTGCTTCTTTCAACCGAAACGCGTTCGGTTCGTTCATTGTCAAGCTAATTCAATCCGGTTCATTCATTGTCAACCTGTAAGACTGTTGGATTTGTGTCTGTGTGGATTTTTGCATAAAGAAGGTAACACGAGCTCGTGGAAGTATCGAGGCGAAATTCTTTCGCGTGTCATTTTAAATTCGTTGAAATTCTGTATTATCATCAATTGATTATCAAATTGAGTTGAGGAACAGCGTGGAACGCGGATCAGTTTCGCCTGTGACGGGAGAAACGGCGATCACGACTCCTTAAAGCGTAGTCGTCACGGAAGTTGGCTCCATTTATAGTGCACGTTGTCCTGTGAGTATCCTGTGTACACAACAAACAAGTTACAGAAGCTTTGACTACATTTTCCCGCTTGCTTGCACGCGCATTTATTTTTCGAGATAAAATCCGCGACACGTTGAGCGGACTTTGCAGTCTCATCCGTCGCATATTCTCTCTCCCTCTCTCTTTTTTTTCCGTTCATCTTAACATCTGCCTTTTAACGTACATTCACCTCGTTCGTCGAAGATTGTTAATAGAGGAAGGAAAGAGAGAAAAAAGCGGGCTATTTCCAAGGACCATTGTATAAGTGTGACAAATCACACAGTACGCCGCGGCGATCTATAACGAGTTAATTCTTTCCCTACGCGCGCGTTGAATAAAAAATGCTCCGGGGATCAAGGAGAGGAAGCGAGCGCGCGGCAACGTGTCCTTGGCGAGGATAATTCCCGTTATCGAGGTACCGTTGCATTTTCGAACGCGGATCGCAGCCCCTCGGTTGAATGCACCGTGGGAAGGGGTGGCGGACGGCGCGTCTGGTTTCCATGGAAACGCTGCATCGACCGCCCCAACCCTTCGACCAGGGTTGTTCCGTCGAGGGTCGAGTCCGTTGCCACTCGTACCGCTGGTGTGGTGGTGCTGGTAGTGGTGGTGGTGGTGGTAGTGGTAGTAGTAGTGGTGGCAGTGGTGGTGGTGGAGGTGATGGTGGTGCGGAGAGAGAACCAGGGGGAACCGGCAACCGCCCCTCGGGAACGGTAACTGTTGGTGCATCGCCCTTCGTAGCGGCTCTAGTGGCGGCGACGGTGCGTGCTTTTCTACAGGATGATCAGGAAGGAACTCGCTGGGACGAATGCAGAAATGATCATCGCAGACGAACAGCGAGGTCCCGCAAAAATTTCCCTCTCAAAACAAGTGCCCCACGGTTGCCCTTATTCTCTCGTGAGAAATAGAACGAGAGACAGACAGACAGATAGAGAGAGAAAGAGAGAGCTCCTCTGATCGAGTCAAAATTTTCGCGAGCCGCCACGTCTGTAAACATCACGGTTACACGAATTTTTTCGTCATCCTCCTCGAGACTTAGTCTTGCAATGTTTCCTCGGGAAGATACGCGTTCTCTTTCACGACGGCGAGAGGAGTTCACATACAGCACCGTAGCGTTCGTGAATTCTTCGTCCCGCATTGTTTCTCGACGTAAATTCGACACCGTGTAATTCAGCGAAGGTTGCAGCTTGCTTGAAATTCAACATCGACGCTCGTCTTCTCGAGCTCTTGGCGCGTCCTCGAGCTGTCACAACGTCTTTAGGAGACAACCCGATATCTCCTACTATCTCTGGAAAACCACCTACAGATTTTGATCGACGCATTAAATGAGAAAAAATGTTTGGTATTTCTAACTGTGATTACATAAAGAACAAAATTACTATAAATTATAATTGAGAAGAAAAATCATTTTTTAAATTTAATCCTACTATAATATTGAAATAATACGCTAATGCATATTGCTATTGCCATTTTCGTGTCGGAACAACTGATAAATATGAGGTCACAAGTAACTATAATTTCAGTTGTAATAACCATTTCTTGCTCTCAGCGTGACCGCAGGTCTCACGGATGAATGCCCGCGAGATCTCCGCGAGATTGAGAACCCCAGAATCAAGGATGCTCACGACGTCGGCAACTATTGCACGTCGAACGTGTAACCCGGCATCTGTACATCCTCGCGTGTATTCCGCCCAGTAATTTCAATGTCACTGCCGGATGATTCTTCAGCCCCAAACGAGGGGAGCGGCCATCACCCGCCCCCTCCATCCTCGTTTGATTAACGTTATTTCACTCGACGGGCGAGCATCGACCGCGATCGATACACGGCACGGCGGCGGCGGCAGTCGCGGCGGTGGTGGAGGCGGCAGCGGCGGCGGTGGCGATAGTATAGTCACGTTGCGAGGAACAAGGAACGAGATGCGACAGACGAAGCGGGCGAAAAGGCCATCGGCCTGCGCCGCAGACGGATTGGTAACGGCTGTGGTGCGCTGTGGTTATGGGAAAGGTGGGCGAACGAACGCGAAACCGAGCGAGATGGACGGAGGGAGAAATTTATTGCACCTTGGAGCTCTCGGGGACCCTCGAGGCCTTGTATATTTAACAATGATATGTGATACGTGCGCGCGCGCGCGCGCGAAAACAATATTTGGAGAAATATAGACGTCGATAAGTGCGTGCGCTCTGTTGGAAACAATTAGGAGAGCGCTTCGGAGAACTGTGGCAGGGGGAGGGGAAGACTGAAACGCGGTGCACGGTATAAAAATGTTTTAAAACAAACTGGAATTTTAAGAGGGTTCTTCGGGGCTGCGTGAGTGCGTATATCATGCAACACGCGAGCGTCTGAATTTCTTCAGCTGCTCAGTTCTTTTCACGGTCAGTTTTTCATTTGTGGAGCGTTTTTTTTATTGATCGAATAAAATTACTCGATTAAGATGTGTGTGTGTGTGTGTGTAGTTTAATTATAATTTTTATCTTTATATCTCCGGCACCTAATTTCCAGTTATACATCTTTCGATAAAAATTCTTTCAATATTTAATACCTCCCTGAACTACTACTACTTGAGATCTCCCTGAACACGAAACAAGAAATAAAGAGACTGATATTTTAACTAAAATCTTGTACTATGTTGTTGGTATGTTTCGCTGGTGCTCTCGAAATGTTTGGGCTTGGAAAAAGTAATAGAGAATGCTACGTGAGGGGAATTTGAATCTCTCAGAAATTAAACTGATTAACTCCACTCTTTTGTGCATTTCTTCGTTTCACGAGAACACTTGTCAAAATTAAAAAACTTGTAGAAAGTGTAGCTGATCAATTTGGCTCTTTGAAAGTTTAATTATTCCAACGATTTTTGTTAAAATAAAGGCAACAAATTGATCGTATAAAAAATCTACATACACACATACATATATATAAATTAAACCGATACAAATAAAATATTATTAAAGAAATAACAAAAAGTTTACGTTTAGTTGGAAAAGGCGCAATATTTTGAAGCTGTATTATTAAGCAGAAAGAAATATATTTTGATCCTAGAAGGAAAGAATATTTCAAGCTGCAGAGAAAGAGAGAACGAGACGGAAGCCTACCAGACGTCAGATCGATCGTGTCTGCGTGCCGCGCCGGGAACGGAAACGGAAGTGCTTGTAACGAGATCGTTTAGGTCTCCCAACACGTCGAAGGATTTCTAACGAGTGGAAAATTCTCGTCCCAAGATCGTGGTGAATGAGAGGTTTTCTTGCAGCAAAACTCGCTCCGGCTTAATATTTGGAGAAATCGGTCATTTTCTGACATAATACGCTCAAATAATACAATAATAATTTACTTACGATACAAAGTCCTGTCCACGAGTTTTTGTCTTCACGTAATCAGTGACTCACAAAGTCGCTAATAATTCAATTTGCAAAACGATGAAAACAGTACCAATCTGTAAATCAAAATTTTGAAGAGATGAATTAAAAATTTTTAGTATAAAGTTAATCTTATTAATGTTATAAATTCTTTGTAATTTTATACAAGAAATCTAAGTAATTTTTTTGACAAATCTAGGAGATTTTTTTGACAAATACATCACAAGTGAGAAAATGCACGGTATCGATTTGTTGCTTTTGCGTTAACAAAAATCATTTAAGAATGATCGCGTTCTTCTTAGAAACTCAATTGAACGATTACTTTTTGTAAGTTTCTCAATTTTAAGATGCCGAGCACAAACCAATAATCGCGCGCCTTGGCGGCAAAGTTGCAGAAAAGAGAGAATCGTGCGACTTTGTGTTTCTTAGCTCCGCTCGTTAGCGGCGGAGCTCATCCCAACATTGTCCTAAATTTTCAATCGAGCGAGACGCATTCCACGAATGGAGGCTGCGAGAAGTTCTCCGGACGTCAGAACGTAACCCTCTGATGATGCATCTTGACCCCTAAAGTGCATCAGCGTCGTGCTTTCCGGAAGTGCCGGTCGTTTCGCCGTCGAGGTTTACGAGCGCGGAGTTACGATGCTACGCGGACGACGTTGTACGCGCGGAATCACACCGAGGAGAGGTCACTGTACTGCGAACCTACAACTTCTCTACCTACCACCTCTCGCTGGCGGAAGGTCATACGCGGAATCGCAGTATCGATCTCGTGTATGGACACATCGATGACACTCCCCGACGACTTTGTCAGCCTATTATTCGCGGTAACGAGAATGCATTAATATCTCGGAACATATGTTCCCTCTGCTGGAATAGAGATCGCTTCATGACGATGAGGAGATTCCGAAAGACGCGGTAATTCGCGCATTAACGCGAGTTATCGCTTCGTCTGATCGCTGCAAACAGCGATCGGCCAACAGTATATTAATGATAGTATCTGCCCGTGAGTCATCATGTTAATTCCGCTTTATGATCAACTGCAGCGCGAGGAGAGTTAGTTCTCGACCGGCGGAGTTCATGAGGAATCTTTCATCATCGAAACGATACAAGTAGATTGAGAAAACAAATATTTGAGAGGAAGAAAATATTTGATTTCAATGATTATCAAGAGATTATACATTATATATCTGTTTAAAGCCTTAATATTCCATGTGAAAAGTTACTCTTCCATGTTACTCTTCCATGTTGATAAAAGAATTTGAGTTATAGATAAATATTTATAAACATGTGTTATTAATAACCACCGAATAAACATGTGTCCCCTGAGTGTGCCGTATCTTTTACACGAGCAAGCTCTTGAAAGATAATTGCACAGGAAGGAAAGATCGATTGTCTAACATATAACAAATGAGAAGTAAGTGTTAACGTTATTAGCTCAATGAGCGATGGCACACGCACACATGCATTTATCGGTGCCCCGCCAAATGAATGTAATGTACGCTGGAAGAAGAAGCCGGACGCGGCGCAAAAACGTTGATTATCGAACGCGGAAAACCAAGGAGGTTACTGTGGCCATTTCCCGCCGGTGGGTATCGTTCCTCCGAGTTCTTGGTCGGCGAGACTAGCGCTTGAGAGCGGTATGCCATAGAAGCCCATAGAGTGGAAACGACCGAGCGGTGTGACGCGTATATCAAAGGCGAGGAGAGAGAGAAAGAGAGAGAGAGGGAGCGAGAGCGAGAGAGAGAGAGAGAGAGAGAGAGAGAGAGAGCGAGCGAGAGAGAGAGAGGGAGAAAGAGAGAGACAGAGAGAGAGAGCGGAAGGGAGGATGAGAGGTTCAAGCACCATTTGACCGGTCTCTGAATCATCGTTAAGCGACCGTTACACGACGGCTCGTTAAATCGCACGGCAATGTGGGTGGGTCGGATAAATCGCACGTCTAAGGGGCGCTACATTGGCAGAATTGTTTTCGCGCGCGGCCTCCGAACGTTTCGCACGAAACGGCACATCACCGCGATCAAAATCGATCCTGATCCCTCTCACGATACCGCTGCGACGATCCTGCAGTCTGCAACGCCCTTGGCTCGGTCACTTCGATCAATGTCTCTCTCCTACTTCGCATCCGACCCTAAAATTATCTCCGCGCGAATCTACGTTTAATAATCGCGATAGTCACTGGAATTGGCCGAAATTCTCGGATGCGAAAATGCCCTCCTCGATTTTTCGACGCCCGAATCGCTTACACACACACACCCGTTGAAAGTGTTTCGCAAACTGCGGCACGAATTTTTGAATGTCGAATTATTTGCAATTTTGCGGCGCTATCGGGTAAAAGCTGGGAAATAAAATTAGTAATTGTAACGTGACGTTGATGATTCGCGCGCGAAAGTGCTCTTGCCAAATTCTCGATTCCAGACCCTTTGTGAATTTTCTATGCGCTGCAAATAATTTTGTGTCAAATTTAACGCACTTCCCGTGTCTCGATCTATTCATTCTAAGTTCACACACAAATTCAACAAACAAGGTAAATACGTCAACAAATGACACAACTTCTGTACACTTTATATATAAAATATATCACCAAGAATGTACACATGTAAGTTTCAAATTTTGCATTACATGGAATTTATACATAAAACTGTGTTATTTTAACGCGTTTAGGAATGACAAATACGAACTTAGTGTAGAATAGCCAAAACAACATTACGTTGATATATTGAATTAACGCTCATCTCAAAACTCTCTCAAAACTATTCACGAATTGCAACTCGAATCTTTTCACTTTGAGAATTATTTGCAATCTAACACAGTATTATCAGACGACACGGCGTTCAATCGGGACGACATAGTTTGAAAGATACGAATGCCAATAAATCCTCCGCCCAGTGACGAACTTACGTGATGCACTTGACGATTATGTAATTAGGATGCATGCAATCGTTACGAGTGACTTGTCCATTAGCGCTGTAACCCTGTGATGGATAACGGTCACTCCGAAGCAAACAATCGCGTCGTATCGATGATTGTCACGTACGACGACGACGTCGGGGTGACGTGCGAACGTGCATGACGTGGGAGAACGGAAGCCATTAATTTCAGAAACAGGCCTGAAGTGCCTCTCTCCTCAAGTAAGATTTCAATTAAGACCATCAAGTAATTAAAGTCGCTCTTCAAAAGTCTCGGATCGGTCTCTCGGCCGGTTGGCATGTCGCACACTTCGTCGTCGCTCTGTCGAGGCGACAGACCCCGTTCGAATGTGCGCATAATTTCTCCTTTCTCGCGCATATTCTTCAACGTTTCGAGCTCGTAAACGACGATTTCGATTTTTGTTGAATTAACAATGAGATGATACGTCTTAACAGCGCTCTCCTAAAATCACGTCACCCGAGCAACGTATTTCCATAATGTAAATGATCGAAGCTGACGCGTCTTTCACATGTATCACTCCCGGCCGTGCAATCGATCGCACGTTTCTCGAAATAAGAAATTTAAAAGATTAAAAGGAGGGGAAAAAACAGGACAAAAAGAGAGTGCAAGGAAGAATACGTTTCACGACCGCGTTTATATCTTCATAAATATTCGCGTATCTCGGAAAATTTTTACATTGCGGAAGAAATCTCTTCCTCATTCTCCTCTCTGTCTCTATTCAAATTATATGTACGTTAGTCGGGAGTGGATTAGTTCCGACTTAGGCCGGGACACGTAATGGGCGGGATTACTGTACTTCCTACAGGCACTCACAGGCGACCGGTTCTGTTTGTTAGATTGCGCGCGCGGGCGTTTTGTTGTGCTCGACCCACCTCGGAGCGCGGTCGCAATTACAAGTTGCAAGTCGTGCGTCTTGAAAAATGCGTAGCGTGTATGTTTACGTGCGTCACGCCATCGCGCTTCGCAGCTCCTGTAATCGCGCCGACGATTATGATAGCGCTTGTAGTGCAGAGGAACGCGATACGATATCTGTCGGACAACGTCGATAACGACGACGTCGAACGCGCCGCAACATTCCAACGCGGTAAACGAGCGAGCTGAAAAAAGGGCACAGGCAAGTGTGATGACGGGGAAAAGACAGGGTGTATGGATATTCTTGTAACGCGTCTCATTTATGCGTTTGAAAATTTACGGAATAACGGTCACCACCACGACGACGACGTTGTTTCAATGCGCAAAAGAAGCCCTAGAAGAGAACAGGCGTGTATTTTAAAGGCGGAGGAATATGGAGGAGTAACGAGAAGAGGAGATGAGAGGAGAGCTTCACAAGAGGCATCGACGAAAGGCGCGCACACCTGTGGAACGCTAATGATTATGAAAGGAGACAAGAGGAGGCTGGCAGTTCGCGGAGTCTCGACGCTGAATGACGACGATTCGTTCTCTATCTGGATTAAATGCGCGGTCGGCGACAGCGGAGACAGATTCGCGCTGTGCAATGCACTCGCTGACTCGCGAAATTCGCGAGGAATTCATGGTATTCATGGACTTGAATAAAAAGTTTGGCTATAGCGCGCTGCAATTAAGCGCGGCTGTGTCTGCGATTGACCGATTACTGTGATTAACTCTCTAGCGCGCATCGCGTGAGTCAAAATTGTCTGGGAAATGAGAACCGAGAGAGGAGAGGATAAAGAGAATGTGGAGGATTTCGAAGAGAATCTAACGTATTACGTTGCTACTTTGCGCTCGTGAGAAATGAAGCAAGAGGTGAATTTTGTTATTACGTGAGTGACGTGTGCGTTGCCGCTTGTCAGCTGCAAATCTCACATTGGAAAGTCGTCGAGTATAAAAGAACATTCCCCAGATAGAGTGTTGCACCAGATAGATTTCCAAAGAGTAACGCGGTGATGGCAATTTATATAGATGACGGCTATACGACAATTTTATACGCAGAATTGCAATGTATGTAGTCTGATGAACTATATTTCGCAGTTATTGCAACTAAAGCTATATTTTATATATTTTCATATATTGTGTATATGTTGCGCAATAATATATATAGTTTTACAAACTACATATCGTAATTATTGCAAATAAAGTTTCAGTCGCAATAACTACAAAATAGTTGGTAAAACACACATTTCAATTTCGCGAC